AGTTGGTATTTTGAGCTACTACATCCATAAATATAGGTCAAGTTCATCAAATTGCAGCAATTTACACTTGTTTCCTTTATCAAAGTTGTTTTATCTTCCTCTAGTTGAGTTCTGATCATCAAGCCATTGAAGCTAGGTCCAATGGGTGCTATCTGCAAGTTTAGGCATTCTCATGCATCTCCCCTCACTTCATATCAGCTGAATGCTTCGTTCTCAATTCTGGCCCTCCGTGGCTATGTCCTTGTTCATTGCTTCAGGAGTTCCCCGGTCTCACTATTCTTAGAACCAACCAGCCCTTCCTCTTCTCTCTCTCATCCCCAAGTCGATGGGAGTCTGTGGAACATGGTAGAATTCAGCTTGTATCTTCATTGCTGATCCATGGCAGTTTTAATATTCTTCCCTATCCATAACTCAAATAACTCTTCTATCATCTTACTTCTACATTGTCCAACTTTCACATGCAAATGAAGCCATTGAAAATGCTATGGCTTGAATAAGGTGCACCTTAGTCCTCAAAGTGACATCTTTATTCTTGAACACCTTAAAGAGGTCTTATGCAGCAGATTTGCCCAATGCGTTGTTTGATTTCTTGATTTCTGCTTCCATGATTGTTGATTGTGGGCCCAAGCAGAATGAAGTTCTGGACAACTTCAAAACTTCAATCTTTTCTCCATTTATCATGATGTTATTTATTGGTCCAGTCGTGAGGAGAATTAAGTAGATGAGAAAATTAGCAGAATAAAAAACAGAGGTCAGCAGAGTGTCCATCCTAATGTTGGCTTGGTGAAATGCTTTGATTTTGAAAACATATTAGAATCATTGTCAACATTTCTTATCCCTATCCTATAATGAGCTCTGGTAGCATAGTGGTTACGAATCGGGCTGTGAACCTTAAGGTCAGCGGGTCGAAACTACCAGTCGCTCCGCGGGAGAAAGATGAGGCTTTCTACTCCCGTAAAGATTTACACCCTCGGAAACCCTGTACAGGGTCGCTATGGGTCGGAACCAACTCGACGGCA